CAAGGACCTGGCCATTCGTGTGAGTGGTTACCCCTCATCTACTCCATCAGTCAGATGTTTGGCATGAAGTTGATTTTGAAAAACAGGGTGATATCTGTATTCTCTTAGGATGTTGGGTTCTCTGTGTATCTGTCATTTCTACTTGATATCAGTTCCTCTGTCCCCAACACCAGAGGCTGGTCTCATACTGGGTGGCCTGTCTGATGTATACCACTATTCCCAGTTCAGAGAAACCAACCTGCCTTCCTTCCGTCCTCCTTCCCTCCCTCCCTCCCTCCTTTCCTGTGCTAGGGATTGAACCTGGGGCCTTGCACATGCTAAGTGAGTGCCCTACCACCCCCTTAAATTTTATGTATATGAGTACACTGTACCTCTCTTCAGACACACCAGAAGAGGGCATCAGATCCCATTACAGATGGTTACAGATGAGCCACCATGTGGGTGCTGGGATTTGAACTCTGGACCTCTGGAAGAGCAGTCAGTGCTCTTAACCGCTGAGCCATCTCTCCAGCCCCTGAGCTTTAACCCTTTCGACTTGTGTTCTTCTGAGATAACTAAGTTGCCAGACTCACATTGAACTCAGCCCAAGGAGGTCTTGAACTTGTGATTCTCCTGCCTCAGAATCATAGATAGCAGGCCTGGGCTCTCGGGCTTAGCCTTTTCCTAACGTTTGCAACCTCGTGGGTTTTTTTTTTTTTTTTTTTTTTTTTGAGAACTGGACAACAAGACAAACCTGGATCCAACACACATGTACCACCACCGATCTGCTTGGTTTTGGGGGTCCATGATCCCCGCTGAGGACCCCCAGCCTGGAATATCTGATGTACAGGCTCTTAACATACTTTCTCATCTACAGCCAAGTGCAAGCTCAGCACATCCATGAGAGAGAACCAGGGGAGGCATATCACCTGGCCCCACAGCCTGGTAACGTTCCTCCCAGCCTCCCTCGAGTTAGGGAGTCGGAAATGAGTCCTTGGGGGTGGCAGGAAGCAAAGGGCCTCGGCTCTGCCTTCCCAGCCTCGGTTTAAGGAACAAAAGAAGCGAATCTCCAAGCTGCTGAGCAGACAGCTGAAGGGTTTTATGCTCTTTTTGGAGGAAAAAAAAAATACATTTTGACTGTTGGGAAATTTTTATTTTATTTTTCTCTTTGAGCTCTCCTTAAGTAGAAAGCAGAGAAAAAATACACGTAAGGTCTGGTTTAGTCTGGTCTGGTTAGTGCCCTGGTGTCTGAGGCCTTGCTTGGGGTTGAAGGCCTGGTCTCACAGGATGCTCTGGCTGTGTGCCCTGGGCAGGCCATTCCCTCTCTCTGAGCCAGGAGTGTTCAGTGGGGCAGGTGAGGTTTACTGGGGATCTGGAAACTGTAGGGGATTTTGGGGGGCTGAAAAAACATGTCTTGGGGTCTTTGGTGTCCAGTGGGAGGCCAAGACTAAGTGTTTTGACCCGAGATATTTATTTGACACTATGTCAGAAATCCAGGAGAGGGCTGGTGGGTGGGAAAACAGCTAGTTAAAGCTATCTTGGGTACACTCCAGATTTACCAAGCCGGGCTCCGGGAAGGACCCCAAGAACCTGCCTTTTTAACCCCTGGGAACTGACATGAGCCCCAGGGAGTGAGAGGCCTGTTGCTAAGCAGTGATGTGGGCTTCTTGGGATCCCCATACACCCCATTTCTATCAGTTGTGTGGAAGGGAGCTGGGGCAAAGTGAGACCACGAGTGGGCATCAGGATGGAGAGCCAGGCAAGGGTGCCCACAGCCACGGGCGCAGGAGGAGGAGCTGAAGCTGGGACCCCATCCCAGATGATGAGATATTCAGTCCCCCTTCAGGACACGGTAGGGCCTGGCTTCTCGGGCTAGGGAGGGTGGAGGTGGTTCCCTTTCTCACCTATGAACCTGAGCTTCCTCAGATGAGCGTAAATGCCAGGGTTGATCTAAGCAGCCCTGGGCTGTAGTGAGCCCCCATTTTATAAATGGGAAAAGTTGAGGCACGAGGTAGTCAAGTCAAGACTACTGGGCAGAGCTGGGATGTGATGTGGTTTGTCTGTCTGTAGCTAAGGGGGAGTATGAAGGCTCTGAGTGTTGCCCTGAGCAGGCCTTGCTGTCCTATTCTGGTTTGCTGGGTTTTTGTTTGTTTAAAGTTTATTTATTATGAGTATACTGTAGTTGTCTTCAGACACCCCATAAGAGGGCATCAGATCTCATTACCAATTGTTATGAGCCACTATAGGGTTGCTGGGAATTGAACTCAGGACCTCTGGAAGAGCAGTCAGTGCCTTAACCAATGAGCCATCTCTCCAGCCCTGGTTTTGTCATTTTAAATTCAGGTTTCACTCTGTAGCCCAGGATAGCCTTTAATTTATGAGAGTCATCTTGCCTCAGCTTTCCCTGCGCTGGTATTACCAGTGTATATCACCACACCTCGTTTATGAGGTGGTGGGGATCGAACTCAGAATGTTGTGTGTGCAAAGCAGACCCTACCAGCAGGGCTGCCCACTCATTTCTGTCTTTCCCTGCATTCAGCCTGCACTCTACTGACTCAGGCTGGGTGGATTGAAACAGAGGGGCTCAAAACAGTGTGTGTGTTTGGGGGGGGGTACCCATGAACTCTCAGGCCATGTTTTCCTGCATCTTCCAGGCCAGAGAGAGTTGGGGGAGAGGCGGGTCCAGGTTCTGGACTGCAGAATCAAGAAGGAAGGACAGGAATCTTCTGGAAGTATGGTAGAGAATGCTAGCAGCATGAGGACCGAGGGCTGTGGTATCTTTGTATGCTGCTGCTGCTGCTTCTTCTTCTTCTTCTTCTTCTTCTTCTTCTTCTTCTTCTTCTTCTTCTTCTTCTTCTGATATATTCATGTAATGTATATTTATTATTATTTATATAATGTATATAATGTACACTGTCACTGTCTTCAGACACACCAGAAGAGAGCATCGGATCTCATTACAGATGGTTGTGAGCCACCATGTGGTTGCTGGGAATTGAACTCAGGACCTCTGGAAGAGTAGTCAGTGCTTTTAACTGCTGAGCCATCTCTCCAGTCCCCCAAACACGTCTTCTTTGTTTAGTGCAGTACTGTTGGTTGAACACAGGACCTTGTGCATGCTGGGAATTTTATTACTGAGCTACATCTCCAACCGAACTCTGATTCTTAGTCCAGCTGTGTGCCTATGGCCTGGCAATAAGGTGGACAATCGCACTCATTGGTCCTCCCTCCTCTGTCTCTCTCTCCCCAACCCCTCCCCCCAGCTGAAATCTAGGGGTTTCTTTTTCTCCCTAGCCTAGAAATGACAAAACTTGAGCCCCACATCCAGATTTGGAGGAGACCCAGATCTTGGAGGAATCTGTTCAACTCTGTCCCCTCGATCAGTAGGAGGCTACCACAAGGGAGGCTGGAGGCTGGGCACACATTCCCTAGCTATGGCTGTCGTTGGCTGTGCTGTCCCTGGGAGCAGGACTTTCTGTCTACTGCTGTCTGGAACCCAGGGAGTGGACACAGAGTCCTAGAGCTCCAGGGGCTGAGGGGACAGATGGTGTTGACAGCCTCTAGGACAGAAAGGATGGGCCACTGCCCCACTGCAGATGGTCTCCACTGGGCTGTGTAGCTTCCTGAAGACTTCTGGGGAGGGACAATACTTTATAGAACGGGGTTTCCCGAGATTCACTTCCGCCTTTCAGCCGGGACCACACCCACTCAGGCTGACCTGGCAGCGTGTGGGCATCTGAGAGGCTCTAAGACAACGCCAGACCTCACCTCCTGCAGGAGCTGTTGGTGTAGGAGCCTCCCCAGGGACACTCGGGGACCTTCCTTCCCACCCCAGGTCCTCCTCTTCTAGCCTAAGTCTGAGTCTCATGTAGCCCAGGCTAGCCTCAAACTCATTATACAACTGAGGATGACCTTGAACTCAGGATCCGCCTGTCTCAGCCTCCTGAGTGCTAGTGTTACAGGCTTGCTCTATCATGTCCGGCTGTGTTTGAGATTTCGGAAACAGGATTCACCCTATGCCCGGAGCTAGCCCTGAACTCTGGATCCTCCTACCTCAGCCTCCAAAGTACCTGGGTTATAGATGGGGGTCGTCACCACACTTAACCTCAGCTCTGGTCTTGACCGTAGAGGGATTTCGTTGAAATGAATCCGTGTCCCCTTGGAGGAGGTCATTCATTAATTCCGCAGTGAGGAGTCATTAATTCCTCCGTACGCACTTGACGAGGGACTCAGTGGACTGTGATACGTATTCTGGGTGACCAGAGGTTAAACAGACACTTTTCTCATGGGTTATAGTTTTCATTCATTCATTCGTTATTTTTAAGTGATAGAGACATGGAAGGAGAGGTCTAAGTAAGGCTGATATCCGAAGCTGACTAAGGTTTGGCTAGTGAGAAGCTTCAGGGTCCAGTGCACCATGGTGCTAATCTGGATCACTGTGGCCGGGGTTTGGGTTGGGGAGCACTGCAGGTCTTAGTATCCTGGGGGCTGGAGTGGCTTCAGAGACCCCCAGCTCATTCATCCATTCATCCATTCATTGTATGTGAGTACACTGTTGCTGTCTTCAGACACACCAGAAGAGGGCATCAGATCCCATTACAGATGGCTGTGAGCCACCATGTGATTGCTGGGAACTGAACTCAGGACCTCTGGAAGAGCAGTCAGTGTTCTTAACTGCTGACCCATCTCTCTAGTGCCCTCCCCCCAAAAAAGAAAAGACAGGGTTGCATGTAGCCTAGGCTGTTCTAATTCACAATATAGCCCCAGGATGGCCTTAAACTCTTGTCTCCCTTGGTCTCTCGTCTCCCTCTCCTTGACCTGAGTGCCAGTGTGACAAACATGCTGAATCCTTGTGGTCCCTGGCATTTAATGAAGTTGATCAAGTGTGCTAAGGAATGTCTTCCCTATCTATTCTGTCTGAGGCTGAGCCAGAGGCCATCTCCAGGCTCAGCACCAACCTTAGGTCCTGACACCCTGTCCCCCTCCATCCCTGCTAATTTCTTCTCTCTCCCTTCTTTCAGGAACCTCTTGGACAAAGACATGTTTTCCAAGTCTGACCCATGTAAGTCCTTCTCTGATGGCAACAGCCACCCCAGTGACACAGCAGCCTGGTGACTAGAGACAGGGGCCAGCAGCAGCTCTGGCTAAGTGTTAGACCTGTGTAGGCATGGGGTGTCTGGCACAAGAAGGTGTCTGTCCCGTGAGCCCCAGTTGGCTCTGGTCTGGGGAAATGAGCGTGGGTTTGGGAGAGCCAGGCTCTAGTTCTGAGCAGTCCCGGCCATGAGCATGACCTTGGGTAGGTCTTTGGCTTTTGCAGAGCCTCAGTTTCCCCATTGGTTAAGAAGGTCTGGTGACAGTAACAGGCCTGGAAGGAGAGTGTTTACGATGCCAACCTCACCATACCCACCACTCAGCCTGTGTCATGCCCATGTGTCCACCCACCTCACACCCAGGGTCCTTTGTCGCGTAGCAATAACAGCCCTTGAGTTCCCTCCTGAAAGACATGCCGAGGTCCCAGGCCCCTTTGCCAAGCCAACTTCCGGGTGTTGTCATGGAGAGCGAGACCCACTGGGAAGCTGGAGATGTAACTTGGTGGCCGGATGCTTGTACAGAGATGTGGGTCCGATCTCTGCTACAGGAACAGCCAATCAGCTGTGGTCTAGGTTTGGAGGCCAAGCTCTTCTTCCCCCCCATTCAGTGAAGTCCCAGCTGCCTCAGCCGACGCCCACCCTTTCTCCAAACCCAGCCCAGCCATCCAGGCTGAGGCTCTTGACCTGGTATCTTCCTCTTGGCCTGAGGTATTAACCCATGTTTTCTCTTCTTTTCCCCAGTGTGTGTCATGTACACTCAAGGGATGGAGAACAAGCAATGGCGGGAGGTAAGCCCCGCCCCTTTCCCACCCAGAATGCACCAGGGTAGTACCAAAGGCGGGCAGGGCAAGCAGGGCAAGCAGGAGGTGTGGAGGCTGAAGACAGAGCAGGCTGTAGCTGTCCTCGAGGAGGAGCTCTGGTTAGAGGGGAGACTCGACTGTTAGTCGCTTTGTGTAACTGAGCTGAGCTTAAAGGAAGGGAGATTCATGTTGGCTCTGATTATGGGGGTGGGTCTAGCAATGGTTGCTTGGCCCGTGCACTTGGTTGGGAAGCGCATGGAAGGGGATTCTGTTCACCCCATAGAAGACAGGAAGCAGAGGATAAAGGAAATGCCCTCAAAGGAGTAGTACCCAGGGGATGGCTCCACTGGCCTGCTTCCTCTACCCCAGCGGGCAAACATTCCACAGAAAATCCGTGTTCAGGGGATCACAGCGCTCATTACGAAGAAGAAAAAAAAATCAATTCATTAGATCAGAGCCCTTATGATCTAGCTACTAATCTCTGGAGACTCCGCACACATAGAAGCATGTTTTAAGCCATTCGTGGTGGCAGAAGTCATTAATCTCAGCGCTGGAGAGGCAGAGTCAGGGGGAGCTTTGTGAGTTCAAGGGCAGCCTGGTCTACTTAGCAAATTTCAGGACAGTCAGGGATACAAAGAGAGACCCTGGACAAGAGGAGGAGGAGGAAGGGGGGGGGGGAAGAGAGAGGAAGAAGAAGAGGAAGAAGAGGAATTGGAGGACAGGGAAAAGGAGGAGGAAGAAGAGGAGAAAGAGGGGGAGGAGGAGGACTGTACTTTGCAGATTGCCTGTGTGTTTCCCAACTCAGTTAAACTGACAACATTAATTACTGAAAATCTATCTCTGACCCCCCCCAAAGGCTCACATCCATCCCATAATACAAAATGCGATCAGTTCATCTCTCTTGTTTCCACATTCTTCACAGTCCCAACAGGAGACTCGAGGGCAACTGTAAACTCATGTGGGAAGCAAAAACAAAACACAAGTTACATATATTTCCAAGATACGGTGGCCCAGAGCGCACAGTCCCACTCCAACATGGAGGAACGGGAGAACAACAAGCCGGGACCAGACTAAAGCAAGGCCACCAGAGCCACCCAGCAGAGCAAACACCAGATCCTGTAGTTCTGGGTCTGTGGACACACTGTAGTGTCTCTGCGTGCACCCTAACAAGAGCCCCTCGTGGGTCCTAGCTGTTTGTAGCCGACGTGGCCTCTCTCTTAGGGCAAGTTTACTTCAGTTCCTAAGTGTTCCTCAGCAGATGTCCCACTGTCCACTCCAGTCTCCTGGGGTTACCCAATCTCCACACTTACATAAGTCATCCTCTATGTCATAAGTCATCCTCTCTGGGGCAGCTCACAGGACCTCAGACCTGGCCATACACTGTTCAGCTCCACGGGCTTGCCTTTGAAATCTGGTGTGAGCCTCTGTCACCTTTGACCTTTGCATTCAGAATGCCGACAACATCAGCATCATATGATCCACACCAGGGTCAGCTGCCAACGTGAACATTGGCTACGCCCTTTGGGCCACCATTGCAGTGGATTCTGGGTGAATAACTATGGAAACAACCCCCTAGCCTGCCCCATTTCATGCCTCAGAAGTCTTTTTTGTTTTGTTTTGTTTTTTGTTTTTTGTTTTTCGAGACAGGGTTTCTCTGTGTAGCCTTGGCTGTCCTGGAACTCACTCTGTAGACCAGGCTAGCCTCGAACTTCAGAGGACCTTTTTGAAGGGAGAGTCTTTCAGATGAGTTTACGGGTTTATAAATGTTCACCTGCGGTGGCTGGGGTCTGGTTAACTGCTGACACGCTCTCTCACGCCATCTGCCTCTTGTCCCTGTGCTGAGTGTGTGGCTTCTTTGTAGTGATCCTATTGGACTCTCTTTAATTCTGTAAACTCCTACTCCATGGCTTCAAACATGCTTCTTTTCTGGCTGTACTTTAGTGTTCAGATCTTTCTCCCTCCTTCTTACTTCTTGCTCTCACTTTAAATTTGGCTAGAAGCAGCCAGCATCGTCCGTGCCATGGCCTGGTTGCAATGCTGTCTTGATATTTCCTCTATCACATTAACAAGTCTACTACCTTTAATGATCATTTCTAATCCCAGGCTTTCCCGAGGTCTCAGAACATGGACCAGATATACACAAAGTCCTTGCTAGAATCGGCTGTGAATGGGTCCTTACCTGGAAGGAGCTTGGCTTTGGCTATCTGCTTTGCTGTTGTTCCTGGCTCCTGCCAGAATCATCAGTTTAGCTCTGTTTACAGCATCCTAAGGCTTTTCATGTCTCTTGTGACATTTCCATCTCCTTAAACAAGCCAGGGGCTTAAGGACCATTGTAGGGTCATTTAGTCACACCAGTGACCCCGCTTCTCTGGTACCAATTTCCCGTATTAGTTCTTATTGCATGATTGTCACACATACTGAGGAAGTAACTTGCAGGGAGGAATTATTAATTTTTGCACACAGTTTTGGAGCAACTCATGCTTGTCTGGCCCCTGGGGGTAGAAGAGAATTTGTAAAGGAAGAGGCAGTTCATCTCATGGTGAATGGGAAACCAGGAGAAGGCGAAAGGGCCCCTGAGCAAGATATATGACCCTGGACTGGAGAGATGCCTGGATGGTTTTGAGCACTTGCCACTCTTACAGAGGACCTGAGTTCAAGTCTCGGCACCCACACCAGGCAGCTCACAACCATCTGTAACTGCAGCTCCAGGGGACCGGATGTCCTCTTCTGTCCTACATGGGCCTTGCGCATACCCCTATGCAGACGTGCACATGTACGTAATTAAAAATAAGTCTTTAAAATAATTTTTTAAGCCGGGAGGTGGTGGCGCACGCCTTTAATCCCAGCACTTGGGAGGCAGAGGCAGGCGGATTTCTGAGTTCGAGGCCAGCCTGGTCTACAGAGTGAGTTCCAGGACAGCCAGGACTACACAGAGAAACCCAGTCTCGAAAAACCAAAATAATAATAATAATAATAATAATAATAATAATAATAATATTTTTTAAAAAGATAGAATGCCCCTCCCCTCAGGGCATGCCCTCCTGTGACCTCTTCTTCCATCCAGGACTCACTTTGCATATTTTTTTCTCCTGAAGACGAGTAGTCTAGTCAAAGTTTGACTCCAACAGTGGATTAAACCAGCTAATTACCCCTCTAGAGGTGAACCACACAGGTGCCCAGAGCTGTTTTTCTCTGCTTTCCTGGGTTTAACCAACCAAGTTGACAAAATTAGTCATCCTCAGGGACCCCCAAAGTGAGGGGACATCCTCAGGGATGCCCTCAGACACAAATTGCCCAGACTCACACTGCCAGCCGCTGGTGCCTTGGGTGAGGAGGCCCCTGGTTCACCTTGAGACTCTCCAGCCGACTTCCCTCCCACGTGTCTGTCTAACATGAGCATGGCTCCAGTGAAGGAATTCCCTGCTGCTCAGAAACCTTTTCCAGCTTCCCTCTGCTTGGATCAGCTCCTCAGCCCAGTTCTAACTCCACATTTGTCCATCCTGGGCCTATTTTAAGTGCTCCATGCGCCTCTGTCCCTTGTCACAGAGGCATTGTGGAGAAGGGCTTTTGAACCAAAGTGACCTCAGGAGGTGCGTGAGGTCTAGATGGCTCTGTCTCCTTCCGGGAAGCCGCTGGAAAGATCCTGCTGAAGGCTCATGGGATTCTGCTCTTTCTGTGCCCAAAGCTGTCCAGTGGCTCCAACCAGGCCAAGCTCAGGGTCTTCCAGGGCCCCCCAGGCTCACCTGTTCTGATATCCCATGTGTGATGGCTGGTTGATCTTACTTCTATCACCTACTCCCTCCATCTCTTTGCCTCCCCATCCATGGACACAGGTGTCCTCCTGCCTCAGGGCCTTTGCACATCCTACCCCTATGTATTTTTCTTACACCCCCACATCCCCTCCACAATTTCTCCAGATCCTGACACCCATGTCACCCATCATAAGAAGGCCTCAGTGTAAAGCCTCCGCCTACCTGATATGTCTCACACATGACCCTTTTGTCTCCTCGTTTTTTGTTTTTTATTTTTTATTTTTTTGGTTTGGGTTTTTTTTTTTTGTTTTTGTTTTTTTACCATTGATCAGACTCTGGTGTCGGTATTATCTTGTCACATGTCACCGCAGGGCAGGGGATTTCTGAGCTCTTTGCCTACCGTTCCCTTTTGAGTACCTAGAACAGCGAGCGCCCAGCACACAGTAGGTACTTCGTAACTGGTTGCAAAAGGGATGAACAGCTTGGATATGGGATTTGAACCTATGTCTTTCCCCCTCCTCGGCCTCCTTGCCCCTCACCGAGCTCCTAGGACTTCAGCTGCAGAGAAAACGGAGGAATATGGCAGAGACAAGTGGCCCCAGGAGGTCCTGTCTTCCTTGTATGACACAAATGCTGTCCCCCCCCTCCAACTCTAAAAAAGACTGGACTGAAGTGAGGGGTGGAGGGAAGGGTTCTTTTCTTCCATGGTGGGACCATGCAGTTTCTTTGGCTTATTGCTGTGTCTGTCCACGATGCCTGAGGTGGCGGAAGGTTGAGTCTGCTACTTCTGCTGTTTAAAGTAGGCTAACAAACAGGACAGGAAAGAGTTGGCTGAAGCCGTGGCCTTCCTGGACAGGGCAATTTCACATCATTCCCTCTCTCCTTCAACTCCTGGGAGAGAGGTACCGGGTGGGGGACTCTGTATAGGGACTGCTTGGTGTCCCCCAAAAGAGAGAGAAGCCCAGGCTCCCAGGGTCCTAACATGAAGCTCCTCGGGAAAGGACCATCATGAAGCGGGGAAGAGCAGGCCAGTTGGCAGACTTAGCGGAAACAAAGGGTAAAATGTATAAACTGAGTCAGAAGAATGGAGCTTCTTCCACGGAGGCTGGCTCACGTGACTCTTCACTCCCCGAGCCTTGAAATCCATCGAAGCGTAAACCGGATTGCTAGAAAAGCAGTTAGCCTGCTTAAGTGGACTAATTACTTCTGAGGCCTTTCGGCCGAGCTTCCAGACTC